CCCCAGCCCGTGCTGTTCGGTGACATGAACCACCATCCCCTCCATAAGTTGGCAAAGACTTGCGCTCTCTTCTGCAGCCCTGGTACGTGCCACGCAAGCCCTAACGCGCAGCAGTGGAGAGCCGGGGCTTTAGAGCAGCTTGACAAGAGCAAATCCCACGGCCCCCCACGGCTCCAGGGGACCTGCTGCAAGAGTAATCCCGTGCCCCTCTGGTTCATCGTTACTGGGGGAAGGCAGGACCTCTGGGTTTACCATTTCACCCTGACATTTTTCTTTCCACCAGATCAGATTTAAATGAAAAATAATACTTCCCCCCCTCCCCCCCTTTATATTTTAAAGGGGAAAACTTTTCCACTTCATTGTGGAAAGCAGAGGAAAAGAAGCGAAGTGATGACACACCTTATTACCTACTGGCATTTGGCTTGAGGGTTGTTTTTATTTTTGTGGAGACTTCTCGGAGTTCGATTCCGGCTGGGAAGCGATAGGGACCGCTCGCAGGCTGTTAGACCTGGGGCCCTGCTCGTCCAGCAGACGAATCCCTCTGGCGTTCCGCCGTCTGCGTGGTGTATCCCTCTGGCATTACACCATCAGCTCTTATTTGGGCAAAGCCCTTCCTGAGTGCTCTGCTTCCCGGGAATACTGCTGAGCACATACATTCCCCTCTCCCTTGGATCCCCTGCAGCCCGCAGCACTCTTAATTGATTCAATTAGGATATTATTATCCGACGAGCTTCCTGTTAATGAAGAAGCTGTCTGCCAATGTGTTAGCTGTTGATACAAAGCTGCTTTTGAAAGGCTCCCTCTCCCCGGGTAGCCCCGCCGGCATTATCGCCTGCCCGGTTAATGGACAGCTCGGCCATGGGGACAGTGTGCTCCCCTCGTGTGTGTAGACCTTCGGCTGTGGCTCGCTCCAAAAAGGCATTTCTGGGTTAACCAGACAAACAGCTAATTGATAAGATAAATTGGTGGTGGAGGTAAATGTGGATAAACGTGCCGTATCCTGACATGCTGTTGGGGGGAGCCCCGCTGCGGGGCGGGTACGCTGCTGGAGCATCTGTGCCCCAGTGCCGGCGTGGGGAGCCAGGGCCCAGCCGCCCTGTGACGACCGCCCCCCGTCCAGCATTGCTGCGAAGGAATTGGCAAATCGTGTGAGACGAGAGCTTCCTGCGTAACAAAAATGCACCAAAACGCTTTAAACTGCATTTGCTCTAATCTTTCTTTTTTTTCCCTAAGATTCTGTAACAAACACTCAAAAATAATCTTGGACAGGGAGAAACAATAGGGTTATTGTTTCTTTTTTCCTACATTTTTTTTTCCCCCCCGACCTGGCTGAGTGCGTTGCTGGGAGCCAGACTGGCTCTTGGCCCCTCTGCGTTCCCCCGTGCTCGGCGGGGATGGCGGCGCTCCGAAGGGCTGTGTGTCTGTCTGCCTCTCGCCTGCCCCGTCTCCCCCTCTCCCTGGGATCTTGGATGGCTGGGCAAGTCCTCCCTTCTGGGAATGTGATGTGAGCGGTCCTGTTTGGAGCTTGGATGGAAACCCTTGCTGCTGAGATGATTTGTGGGAGCCTCCCCATGCCAACCGCCTCCCTTCCACAGTTCCTTGTCTGCTGGGGAATGCAATCCCCCGCCGAGGTCGGGGAGAAGGGATGCTCTCCCGGGAGACCTGCCCTGCTCTGCCTTGTCACTGGTGTGCCTCCATTTCTGCAGACGATCTTCTGACGCCTGTCCATGCATCCCTCCCCCAGGGCTTGTGGGGTTGCTACACTTTTACCCACACTTTTACCCTTTTTCTATCCTTTTTCCAGGGCTGTGCCTGCTCTCCTTGGTTTTCCTGGGGAAGAGCACTGTAAGTTGTTGTAGTCCCCGTCCTGCAAAGCCAGCAGGAGCAAGCTGGGCCAGAAAGGGTACGGGGAGCCTCAAAACCTAGAGACCTGCCAGCTGGCTTCCTCCGGGTCTCTGGAGCATCTCTCAGCTCTGGAGCTGACCTTTTCCCATCGCTGCTCTGTGCTTTTCCTCACTGCAGCTTTATGGCGTATAGTGCTACAGGAGAACCGTCAGCCTGTGACCCACGGACTGGATTTCTGCAGACGTGTGCTCTTGTCTCTTGCTAACACAGACTGCCTGCCGTGGCTACAGCCGGCGCTGGGGTTGTTTTCTTTGGAGTGGGTTTTTCAGCTGTTCTTCAAGCACAGGCTTACGCCTAGTAAAACTGATGAACTAGTATTTTCTGCTGCCTTCTCCGGAGCTGCGTGATGTGGCAGCCGGGCTGGGTGGGATCCACGGGACTGACCCCTCGTCCTTGCTCCTTCTCCACCTTCTCCTCTTTCTGTGCGTGCTGGAGGGTGCTCCAGGCACCTTGTAACCTCTTGTCCTCCCTCCAGCAAGAGAAGAGACAGCAGCTTGTGAGTGCACAGGTATAATGGTACCAACCCACAGCAGGTGGTGCAGGGTCTGGTCTGGCTGGGGTGATGCTGGTGGCTCCGGGCTGGGCTGGACGAGAACAGGGTGGCTGCAGGGAGAGGGTCCCCACACCGCCTCCTGCTCACCGAGCAGCCACTGCAAAAGGCACTTTCGGTCAAGCAAAAGGAAACGGAGAACTTCTGGGCTGAAGTTCTGGCCGGGTTTGGTGGGATCACATGGTCGGGAGCAGATCTGTCCAGAGGCACAGCCCAGGCACGTGCATACGGGAGAAAACACAGCTTGCACCATTTGCGTCTTGGAGGCTCTCAGCGCTCCCAGCAGCGAGAGATCCTCAGATCGCGTTCAAAACTGAGAGGAGGGGAAAGCTTCCAGTGACTCAAGTATTGCGTCGCTTAACAGCAATCAGATGTGCGGCATTTGCAACTTGTTTTGCTCACCCTTCACCGGTCACAAGCTTTCCCGAGCTCTTCCCAACAGGAGGAGCAGGGCCAGAGGCACCTCTCCACCGTGGCACAGCACAGCTGGTTTGCAGGGTAACGGGGATGTGGTGTCATCCTTCATTTTTGTGGATTGAGGGAAGAGCAGGAGGCGGTTGCGTGCCCGGGGAGGCTGGGGACACGGTGCTGCCCTGGGAGCCTGCAGAGCCTCGGGGAGGCCAGTCCTCCCTCGGTCGTCCTCGGGCTCACTTTGTGGCTGCTGGTAATGTCACCGCAGTCCCTGGTTATTGCTGAGTCTGGAGTACCTTTTCTTTGTTGTAAACCCTTTAAAATTTGTTTTGAGAAGAAGCTGTAAACAGGGTCCGTTTGTGCGTAGTGTCATCCTGGTTTTGACTTGTCTTGTTTTCATTTTGAAAAGAATATTTGAGAGCTTCTTTTGGTTTTCCTGTTGTCTTTGGGAGCGTAGGGGGAGGTTTTTATTTCTTCTCAAAATGTAGGAAAAATACCTCCTTCCTTCTCCCCCCTCTCCACCAAACCTCAAGAATTTTATCCCAGTGCATCTGAGATCCAAGAAAAAAAAAAAAAATGCAAGTATTGCATGTGCAGAGGGTGAGGAGGGCTATATAAAGAAAAAAGGGCTGAGCTTTAGCATTGCAGCACTTTAAACAAGCTCGTGCCTAGCAGTAGAGGAGTCCACAGCTCTTAGGTAGGAGCAGAGACCCCCTGTAAAAAGTATGTGGAAAAATAGGTGCCAAAGAACAAGAGTGATGAAAAGCAGGGAGCCGGGTGGGATACCTCTCTGGGAGGTGTCGAGACCCCAAAGCTCAGCCCTGCACAGACTCCCCGTGGTGAAGGGGCTCCCGATGTTCCGTGGTGGAGCAGCAGAGCGGGGGGAATGTGCCTTGTGTGTCTGGCTGCTCGGCGGTGCCCGTCCTTCTGCCAGGCTGGGCGAGGGCTCCCTGCCGGAGCCTCTCGTGGGATGAATGGCTCAGGATCTCCGGTTTTAAAGTTTCCTCTTTGCATGAAATACTTTAAATATTAATTGGCTTAGAGGACGATAGTTGTTTTGACTTTGTAGGTGCCCAGGACACTTCCTGGGCAGGTTGTCTCCAGTGCTTCCAGAAGCACTTAACTCTTTACACAGAGTGCGATAGCTCCAACAGGAGAGGGCAAGACCCATTTCAGATACCCGGGGGACCAGTGAGCTCTTCACGTGATAGGAGACAGAGCTCAGATCCATGCCGCAGAGAAAACAAGGGAGAGTTTGCATCTCCCTCCCCTTCCTTCCAAAGGAGGGAGTATCTTGGTGGTTGGATGGATGGCTAGGCATGCTCTTTCTCCTCTTCTGCTCTGTATAAAGTGCAAAACCCAACCCAAATAGCGTTGTCCAGCAAGACCACGTAAAGGACATGCTGAGGACATGAATCCTGCCAGGGCATCAGTATTAGGCATCATAGCGGCTGCAAGGAAGTTGTGTGCGTGTGCCGAAGCACCAGCGCAGGCACCCAGCAAGAGCAGGAGGTGGTTATCACCTCTCTTTGCTGACTAAATGCACTAAGTGCTGTTGCATCGGTCAGTGAATTATTTGTTTAATGCTGAAGAGCCCATAAAATATTCATCCCTCAAAGCCTGCGTAGCACAAAGCGTTCCCCAAACTTGACGTATAACTTTATGGCCTTTTGCAGGCAAACATGAGTTGGTGTTGTAAGTCCAAGTCAGCTGTAGTCCAGGAACTGTGTCAGTGCTGTGCTATGCTTGAGCTAATAAGCTTAAAATTTGCCTTTTTGAGGAGGTTCTGATGTCTAGTGACTGAGGCCCATCAGGATGAAACTTAATAGTTGCAGAAGTGGAGGTTACATAAATCCCCCGTGCTGAGCAGAATGATAGTGATAAGCAACATCAGCGGTGAGAAATGTCTTGAAAATAGTGGAGATGACGCAGAGATCTTGTGCTTCTGGCACTACTTCGGATGTGCTTCCCTCGGTGCTGCAGGTCACTGCACCCTGCCTGATGGTGCTGTGAACGATGTCTCGGGACGCTGCTGGTTTGGAGAATGAGCCTCACCTCCTCCTGGGGAGAGCGGCCTTGTGTCGTGCAAATTAATCACTGACTTTATTCACCTCTCTTGCATTTCCTTTTCTAGATGCAAATGCTGGACAAGTTTCCGATGGAAGGAGGACAGAAGGACCCCAAGCAAAGGATCATCCCCTTTCTGCCAGGTAGGCGAGTGGGCTCCAGCAAAAACCATGCTGGTCTTGGCCTGGGAGGAGCTTTTCCCCAGTCTGCGTGTGAGCATACGTGTGCTTTAGCTCTTATCTCCTGAACCGTCTGAGCAACAGCAAGTTCTTGTCCTGCACCGTGTCCATTAAAACATCTGTATTTGTTAGCAACGGGCCCAGCGAGTGTTAAACCCCTCAGCTGTTCTTTCTCCCTCCAGAAATCATTCGTGGGGGACTTCATTTAAGGAACTCCGCTTGTACAGCATCTGCCAGGAGCAGCCCCACAGCAGCCCGCTTGTTTTCCGAAGGCGCCTGGCCGGCACGGCGCAGGGCTGAGGATGGCGTGAGGCTCCCCAGGCACCGCTCATAACGCTGTTTTTCCTGTCCCGTGCAACTCAAAGGGCCATCCGGAGAGAAGGAAATAACAATTGAATTCCGCATGTTAAGTCAAGCTGATTGACAGCCTGGCCTTCCTCCGGTGATGCCGCGGGATGGTTGCTCGAAGCCAGGATTTCTGTGGCGTGCCGTGTGCCGGCTCGGCGTGCAGCTGAGCGTTCGTCTGCCCGAGGGACAGATGCAGTGGTCCGTGTGGTGCAGGGGATTGCTTGTGGCTGCCTTCGGTGCTGCTGCTACTGGGGGGGTGTGTAGGGGGGAAGAACCCTAATGTGCCTTGCACAAATAAGCAGCCTGAGGGGCCCCGGGAGTCTTTCATGCACCCATAGCTAATGGCTTTGACCACAGAGTTGTCTTTACCCCCACCCCCAAGTAGCTAATGGGTATGTTTAGAAATGTCACGGTACCATAATCACTTCCAGTGACTGTCAGGTCCATTTAGTGCAGCCCTTTGTGCTGCGCTCTGCCTCCCGGCTTTTCTAGAAACATAAAGGCATTTAGTGGGCTTTACTTTCCTCTGACCGGCGGGGAGAGAATCATTTGCGCCCTTTTCCGAGCAGGAGAGTCTTGTCTGGGTTTCCCACAGAGGGATTTCTGAATCTGGCTTGTCCTTGCATCGGAACATCAGCGAAAGTGAGGCACACCTGACATTAATAGAGCAGCAAAGCCCTCGCTGTGTGAGTACTCCTGCCAGCAAGGAGTGGGGAGGAAAAATGGAAGCAAAAAATTGGCAAAGGGAATAACTTGGAAAAATTGGACATATGGTTTGGCCGTGCCGCGCTTGCAGACAATTCCCACCAAAATGCTGCTATTTTTGGAAGGCGGCGATCGGGCTCGGGAAGCCTGGTCGGAGCACTGCTTCTCACGGCACACTCATCAATATTTGTTTCTTCTTCTTGGTGTCGAAATAGTTTCCCTTCGCGAAGAAGCGTGTCACTGGGATTTCCGTTGGAGGAAAAAGGGGGTTGAAGTTTCTGGAAAATAAAGGCTGGCTCTTGTGTAAGAAAGCAGTTTTGGGGAGTTAGGATGACCATCCTCTAGAGGAGCTTGTGCATTTGTGTGAGTCCTCTGCAGAGACGTTTGCCTTTTTGCTCTGGTCCCATTTTTGCAACAGGATTGAATGATACCATTTTCAGAGGTAGTCACATGTTGACGTGGAAAACTGCTAGTCCATGCTTCTCCCAGAAGTTTTTCTTGACGTTTAATTTCTGCAGTGGCTTGCAATAGCGAAGAAGAGAGAGACTATTGATGCGTAGCAGCTGGCACCTGTGGCTTTTCTCCTTGTACTTTCAGGTGCCAGCACAGGGCAGGGGGTGGTTGTGGTGAGAAGGTCCCAGCACGGGACGGTGTCCTACCCCCGAGCAGGAGGTAGCCACTGGAAAGACAGATAATCTTGCATCTGTCTGTCCTAGTGGGGCAGCTTCAGAAGTCCTCTTGATTCAGGGAAGTTGTCTTATTAAGAAGTGGGGATTGTGTTGCCTTTGCCCTCCTGCCTTTGCTTGCACATCACGGAGCAGTCAGGAGCTGGTGGCTTTCTCCAGAGCAGAACGATGAGCTATACCTCCGTAGCGAGATGGCTGGCAAGCTGTGTCGGCTTCTGAAAGAAGCCTTCACTTGGGGGCAGGGGAAGGCTCTGTTACTCGTTGCTGGCCGTGCTAGAGGATGGTTCCTTTCTGGAGCAGTTCTTGACCTTCCCAGTTTGGGATGGCAATGGGTTTTGTTACTTAGAGCTGAACCCAAACTTCTTCTCTCTGGGTGCCATCCAGGTGAGCTCGGTGCAAACAGTGTCTCTTTCTCTGCAAAACATGGCTCTAGTATGCTTAGGGCTTTCTAGCGTTTTGATTATGTTCAGCTTCTGTGAGTACTGTAGTTTGCTCCCAATCCCATTTTGAGCAACATTTTTAGCATCTGAATTTCATTACCAGTGGAGATTTGGCTCCAGTGGCTTACTGAAAGTAAACTGCTTTCTGGGAAGCCCGTTGTAGAGTAACATTAGACATTGTGGCCACTGCAGTTCTCAAAAATGTCTCCTGCAACCCTGTGCCTCCTGCAGCTCTGGCTTTCTGAGCAAACCCCTAAGCGTCCTAAACTCAGGGTCACCACCACGACCTGAGAAGGTGCCATCTGGGTTTGTCGGTCAGGCTGGGTTCCTGGAATGGGAAGAGAGCTCCATGATTACTCTTTAGTTACAACATCCAGCCCACAGGAACTCTGCTTTGTGTTGCTTTGTTTTGTTAATGGTTGCTTCAGGGATTTGACTTCTTGGAAATTTCTAGAGATTTTGGGTCTTTTGAAGTAGGTCTCTGATGGTATCAGAAAATGCTCTCCTAAGTGCAAGTCCCTTCAGCCCACTCGTCTCTCCTGGAGTCATAAAGCTGAGTTCTCCAAAAGGGAGCAGAGCAATTGCGCTCAATGTTTGGGGCTGGGGGTTGTCCCTTCCCGGGCGTTGGCGTCACGCTCATCCCATAGCAGAGCTTGGTGGGGTCCAGTTTGGCCTGGCAGTACATCGCAGTGTTCCTGCACCGTGCCCGAAAAGCCTCTGCCACCATATAGGGGAATCTGAAGTGGACTCTTGGCTACTTTTGCTGGCGTTGAGCCACCAGCACGGCCTGCCCAGCTTCATGTGGTGCTGGGGATGGCCCCGTGGAAGAGCTCTGGCAGCACCCAGCCCGTGCACAGCATCAACTGTGGTGCCTGGAACGGAATCAGGAGCAGCTGGCGAGAGAGAGGAGACCTCTCTGTCATTGCCTGCGCTGGGGGACGTCATGCTGGGCGGCTCCGTCCTCGCCTGCCGGAGTCCACACTAAGGGTTACGTGCTTCTTGGCTGGGAGATGATGGTATGGAGACCCCCGGAAAGAATGAACTAAGAAAACAAATGAGCTCAGTTGGGCCCGCTGTGTAAGGGCTGTGCCAGATCTTTCAGGAAACAGCTTTTATAAGGAGAGTGGAGCCTTCCAAACTGCGTACAGCCCGAGTGGCCTGGAGCAGATCCTGGCCAGTCTGCTTCACTGGAAACGTGAGCCTCAGCAAGGAGGGGTTGCCTGAGGCTGAGCTAACTTTGGCTGTAAAATTGCTTTTTAGGAAGCTTTAGCTACAGACAATAGCAAACTCCCAAGAAGGGAGGAGGAGAAAGGGGGTTCGGTGAGATCATTTTCAAAAGCAGAATGATGTCTCCTCTTCTACTCCCTTCCCAGCCTGCTAACCTGCTCGGCATGGGCATCAGTGCTGCCCGCTTATTTTGGGGCTCTTCTCCCAGAACACCATGGGGATGGGGATGCTCATAGCTCCCCACACAGGCCCCATGAAGGAGGTGGAGGACGACTCATCCCTTTTCCAGCTACAGTACCTGATTTTCCCTAGTCCCGTTGCATCTTCAAGAGAGCTGTAGATGGGGCAAGGGTCCTAATGACTATTTTCTGCTCTAGCAGGGTGGGCATCTCTGCTGTAGCACTGTTGCATGGACAGTCCCAAGCCAGATTGCAGCCCATCATCAGCACGGTTGCCTTTTCTGTAGGTTTCCAGCTAACCCAGCTGACAGCATCATCCCCAGCAGAGTGCTGCACTGGAGCCATTGCTCTGCTTCTGATGCTTCTGACCTTTGAGCTGTCTTTAAACAACCTACGTTAAGCTTTTCTCCATTGCATGGCACTGTAGGCCATAGAAGCAATGGCCTTGGGAACATTTTGCTCTTGCTCCAGCAGGATCTCAAACCATGAGAGTGTAAGGGGCCATCTTGATAGGGGCACTGTTTAATTTGGCTTCATTTCACAACGTATGGGACTCCGTGCTTATGCAGGACAGCCCCGGAGGCCCTTTGCTGGTCCCCCTCCTTTTCACCAGGATATATGCGCAGTGCAGAACTTTGCCAAACAGATGCTAAGTGCAGGGCTCCTGGAAACACCGTCTCCCACGCCTGCTTCCCCATCCTCGGAATAGCCCACGTAGCTGGCTGCTCCATGGGCTGGGATTAATTATGTGTACGTTTGGGGCTGCCTTTTTTTGAAGTGAGTTTGGAACCCGTGCCAGGGAAAATCTGGATGTGATTTGAAAGGTGCAGAGAAGTGAATTCTTTCCGAGGCTGTGGGGTGGGGGGGAGAGTGGTGGGGAGTCCTTCGGGGTAAAGCAAGAGGCACAGACGGTTTTCCACTCTTGAAATATCTGGCTTGGTTCACGGCCGTGATCGGCAGGGTGATGTGTTTTGGGTTCTCTGCCCCTCCAGCTTGCTTGAG